GCAAATTACTGCACGCAAAATTGGATCTTGATAAATCCGGCCCATTGTGTTTTGTAGTACATACTAATCTCCACAGGGTGTCACAGTTACTTATAAAACCTTAGTTCTACACGGACTAAAGACCACTCACAGACCCCTTTCAGAGGTGTGAAAAGTTTGCATTGTACATTCTTTACCCTCTTTTAAAAGTACCGATACCTGCTCAAAAAAAAAAAGACTTCAGCAAAAGTACAGATTAAACACCTTTACTTAAGTAAAGGTTGACAGATAAAAGATTTAGATTTAAATCTGATTTATCTTTTTGAATGTTTTCCACCTCACTTTTTCCACCTGTTTTTCTAAAACAAACAAACTGTGCTCCAACTTGACAGATGCTCTTCACACTCTTGAGTTACCCTGCTGTTGCAGCTATTAAAAAGCAGATAGTTAGTCTTGACAAAGTAAGGATTAGAAAGTACAGATATTTGTTTGTAATATTAAGTACAATTCATAAGTGACTCAATTAAATAGAAACATAAAAAGCTACTTTAGTACAGCAGCTAAGTATAATAAATTACTTGATACCTTTGGACACTTTTAATAGGTGTGCCTAGTTAAGGTTAGGGTTGGACCCCTTTTTTTTCTAAATAACTGTCCTAAATCTTTATTGTTAAGGTCCAACGTTGTGTTGCATTATGCATTTGAAGGTTTAATGACTGTCCATGATGCGAGTCCCCTGTTCCAACATGTCTGTATTTAAAACGGCCTGGTGAGCATGGAGATCACTACTGGAAATCAATTTTTAGTCATTTTTAATAAGGTGGTGTGAGATTGTTTGAGCTTTTTGACAAGGTACAGTACATTATTCTCCTGGAAGACTGAGTGCATCTGGCAAATGAGTAAGAACATGCTAAGCAACCATATCAAGGTGTTTGAATTAGTTGCTTTTTGTATCTTTGCTTCTTTCTGTACATCTGCTTCTGTCTCCTTGAACCCCAGTCGGCCTCGGCAGTTGGCCGCTTACGCTAAGCCTGGTTCTGCTGGAGGTTTCTTCCTGTTAAAAGGGAGTTTCCCTCTCCACTGTCAGTACATGCATGTTCAGTGCAAAGGATTGCATAGAGTCAATGAGTCGATGCAATCAACTGGTTTTATTTAGATAGAAAACTTTGAATCTGCCTGACTGTATGATCTGTTTGAATTGTCTCTGTAAAGGGCCTTGAGATGATATCGTATTGGCATCATCACTGATATAAAGTTTGCATGACCTCCCTCCTCCCTATGTGGATTCTCTTTGGGTTTAATTAAAGCACGTGTTAGAGTATTTTGTTAGTATTATTTCCAAGTTTAAATAACTCTTAGTAAAATATAGAAATGAATATTTCAGATTGATTCAATTGATGGGAACAGCAGTATTTAAGTACAATGGACATTTGTCTGTGTAAAAAATAATCCTTCTTATATCATACAATTAACCAATTAGGCTTTCTGTTTTGTCTCATTCATTGATGTCTGGGAAAACACACTCTCAGGGCATTGCTCCATTTACCGTTTGGCTCTCGAAGATACTTTAGGTCACCTTCTTTATTTTTCATGGCCGTTAAGCTTTACAAATGTGAGACTCATGTTTCGTCCCACATGGTTTAGTCATTGACCTCTGGAGCAAGCACCCCGCAGCAGGGCATTTACTGTGCATTTACCTGTCATAAATCTTTATGTTTTTCAGTCATTACTTGCCCTCTCTGTGTCCCTGGACACTCTTCTGCAATCACAAAATGATTTGTGTTGCATAAGGCAACACAAATCATTTCCAAAGAGACTGTGTGAAAAAATATATGTGTGGAAGTAACTCTAAAACTCATTGTATTATCATACTTAATATATTGAAAGACATTTCTAAAAATACTAAATTATCAAACTTAAAATAACATAAATATTGTTTAATATTTATTTAAAGTTTTTAGGAGTTTATGGTGTTATTTATCACTATGTAAAGAAAAGTACAGTGAAAGTTTTCTTAGTTTATTAATACTTGGTTGAAGACATACTTGTGAATATAGGTGTAGATATACAGTAGGTGTAACACTTTTTCTATCTGTTTTTACTTTGGGTTTGAACAGGTCAGACTTTAAACACAATTTTAGAGGTTGCCTGAGATTTTCTTTTTGTTGTTCCCCTCAAATGTTTCCTAAAAAATGTTTTAACCATATATTCCCGGGCTCTAAGTGTGTATACAGGAAATTTTTCATAAACCTTGAACACTTTTAGATTTTATCATGTAATAAGAAAACTCCAATAAGTTTTTTTGTTGGGTTTTTATAAGACAGATCAAACTTCACTTTTAAGCTGAAACGGAAAATGTATGACATGAAAACTTTGTAGAACCACCTTTTATATCTACTCTTGCACTTCTTTTTGTCTCCAAAAGCTTTGAAAAAAACCCAAAACATTTTGCTTTCGTCCTGGAAAAATGAAGTGGGTCCAATATTATCAAATTGTTTTCTGACACACTTATCCCTAGTGGGGTCACGAGGTGTGCTGGTGCCTATCACCAGCTGTCTACAGGTGAGAGGCAGGGTATACTCTGGAGAGGTTGCCAGTCTATCGCCGAACAAACAACCATTCACATACACACACTCACACCTAAGGAGAATTTAGAGAAGCCAATTAACCTAACAGTCATTTTTTTAGACTTGGAGCCAGAGTACTCGGAGAGAACCCACACATGCTCAGGGAGAACATGCAATCTCCATGCAGAAAGATCCTGGGCCGAGAATCGAACCCACAACCTTCTTGCTGCAAGGCAGTAGTGCTACCCACTGAGCAGTCCCTATCAAATTGTCAAATCTAGAAAAAAAACAACAACAACAAAAAAATA